GAAATCACCCGCACTGGGGCAATTTCTGCCCTTCCAGGATGAAGGCATAGCTTGGACTATCCCCAGCTTCAAAGACCCCTTTCAAAGGAGGATGGGAATAAAGGGAATTGAAAATTAAAAAGAATTTTGCCTCAGTGCTAAAGCTCAGGCTACCAGGGCCAAGATCCGCTTGCAGCAAGAGTGATGCCCTGGCCAATTACCTATCCCGTGAGTTTCTGTAATCGTGGCGGGCTTCTTTCTCAGGCGGCCCTGACCGTGAAGAAGGCAGTGGCGCCGAGGACTTGACCTTTACGGTGTGAAAAGCTGTAAGGAGCGGGAGGAGGACTCCGCGCTGTCTCCAGCTTCTGCCACCCAATAGCAGCCCAGACAATCCACTCAGGCCAGGCCGCTCACTCCCATTCCCCCTTGCATTTCGAAAGTGCTGGACCACAGGCTCGCGGCCAGGAAACAAAGCCCCAAGCGCGGCTTTCACCACCTACCTAACCCCGAGGGCAGAAGTCAGCGCTCAAGCTGGCTTCCCAAGGCCCTCATCTCTCGCAGGTCCCCAGCCGCCCCCGTCCAGCACCTGGGTGTCACACAGTGCCAGCCAGGCCCGGACGTGCTGAGCTCCGGTGCGCCCTGGTCCTGTCTTCAGGCTTTAGGCGGCAGATGCTCGGGGGATCGCGCGGCCCGAGGCTGCTTCCCGGCCCAGGTGGAGCTCGCGCGCGCCGCTTCCCGGGGTTCCTCCCGCACTCAGCTCCGGACTTCCAGGACGGAAGTGCTGGAGGATGGCAAACACGGTTTCTTTTCAGCCCGTCTCAAAACCCCTTTTCGAGAAAATGCTCCTGTCAAGTTTTATTTCCCGTTGCAAAACCCCCTTCCACGCTGCCAAGAATTAAGACCAGGAGAGATTAAATACCCGATTATTCTCCAGGGGACGGAGGGGCGGGGCGGAGAAGGGGGCACCCTCACAAAACCTCGGTCGCCTGTCCTCGTCCTCAGCAAATAGCTCCAGGAGCCAGGCGAGGCCTGCGAGGCCTGTGGTGACGTCAGCCTGCAACTCGGGGTGGCTCATCTCGCGTGTCCTCGGCCCTCCTGTGTCCACGCGGCGCGGGCTGCTAGTTAGTCCCACCACGGTGACCTACGCCGCGGTGCCGTGGCTCTTCTGCCTGCCGCCCTCAGGCCGTCGGAGCCGGGTGGGCTCAGGCAAGGTTCGGGCCTCCATCTTGAGCAGGGGTGTCCAGTGCCAGGGCAGGAGGTTTGGGGCAGCGCTTGTCCCCAACAGGCGCGACACTCGGCAGCCATCTAAGTCCACGGACACTCTGCTCTCACTCGCCCACACCCTTGCACCTGGGCAGGCTCCGCGCCTCCCGACGGCTCACAGAAATGATCTTAGACACCGGTGGAATTCCTTCTGCCGGGTGGATTCAGCTCTGCCGCAGAGCCGGATAGAAACGAGATCGACTGTGGCAAGGCTGTGGCTGCTTTCACGCTGGAATTTTTCTGCGCAAAAATTTTCTTTTATAAAAAACACTGTAAATAGCAGGCACATCTCAGACATTCGTCAGGTAGATGCGTGAGGACTGAGTAGTAATTTTCATAACGAACGAAGCCAGATTTTATTTACCCGGCGGCCAAGCAGATGAAAACTTAATTAGCGTGCCTGTCTAAAACCCAGGCAGGCATAAATCTCGCCAGGCCTTTTGGATAAGGCCGCATCTTTTGCTTATGAAAAATGGGATGCGGGCACTCGCGGCACATTTCTCTGATTCTCCAGGTCTTGGGCTGCTGACACGCATTCGATCAAGTTTAAAGGAATGCGCATAAATCAGCAATCCCCTAGCGACTCTTCAGTCGAGGTTCACAAGCCCAGAAGGGCGCCTCTGAACCCCCATCAGGGGATTAGTAGTCCCGGGCAACCTTCCCCACAGCTCCTGGCCCCGGGAATTCACAGAGAGGAAGCCAGCCACTGCATCTTCACCCACGCAAAGACGCAGCATCGAACAGTCTGTACTATCTACTATCTGGCTATTGCTCTCACACAAACACAGCATCCTCGGCTGAATTTTGCTGCCTTCGGGTGAATCTCTAACAAAACATTTAAACTAAGCTGGGTATCTTCAAATGAACATTCTCCCCCTTTGTCTCTGAGTTCCTTTGTGTTTAAAATCTTATGCTAATTTAAAAAAGGAATTGGCTTCAGCTCAGCATTAGGCATAAATACTTAGTGAAGTCCACAGTGACGTTTTACAATCGTCCACTTAAAGTTACTTAATAAATCTGACAGTATTAGGAGCAGATGGAAAAGGTCATTTTTTTCAAGTCCCATATTTATAATTTTTTATTCAGGAAGTTTCCTTTTTGAAAAAAAACTTGAATGAGGTTTTCAACATCATTATTCATGGATCAATGTCTGCCATTATTGTTCCTATTGTCTTCAGAAGGAGGCCAATGTTCTCCTGGCTGCCTTTGTCCTAAAGGGTTTAGGCTGTTTGCTATTGAAAAGCTGAGAAGTCTCCAGGCAGGCATGGTAGTGGGACTTCTTTAATCCCAGCATTCGGGAGACAGAGGCAGGTGAATTTCTGAGTTCCAGGTTAGTCTGGTCTACAGAGTGAGTTCATGAACAGAGAAACCCCGTGCCTCAAAAAACAAAACAAAACAAAAACCAAATGATAATGATAATAATTATAATATTAAAAAAAACTTTGAGAAGCCATTATAATCCATAACCGCCTCAACTAATCTGATAAATCCATGCCTATTTTAAATGAGAAGGGTGTTAGGTGAGAGCGCTGCTATCAACAGCCAGTTCAGAACTAAAGGGAGGGGCACCCTGACATCTTCTGGAGAGAGAGAGAGAGAGAGAGAGAGAGAGATACTTTACCCCAGACTCCTGCAGTAGTGCCGGCTTTCAAAAGGGGCAGGATTTCCATCTGCAGAGCTGCTGTTGGCCTCTTTCCTAGGCCCCGTAGGCTCAGAATATTTCTTACATCTAAAGAAAAATGTCTCCCTTCAACAGAAGAGTCCACGTCGGAGCAGTTCATAAACAGTGTTTGATCCAACTCGGAGGGGAATTTCCAACACTTTAAACATTTTGGAGACATCGTTAACTTTGCTTGATGGTAGGTTCACTTGGAAACGGGACTGTAACACAAGGTGCAAGGCGGTGGGTCTGAAGCTGTGTTTTCATTCGGTTCCACAAACGGATGACAATCCTCAGGGCAGCAAACTATGATGGCACTTAACAAGACCATCTGAGGTGTATGTTTCGGGAGCATCCTTTGTTGAAACAGCTTTATATTCTTTCCACAATTCCTCATCTATAAAGATATAAAGAAGCTCTCAGTCTTCGGGCGAGGCTGGAGATGTTTCCATCATCTGGGATTGTAACTGGCCCATATCATTTTCCACCAAATGATGAATCCAGTTCTCCCATGCGCTATTAGTTTCCTCTAACATAAAGATAAAATGAACCTGCACCTGAAAATCCAGATCCCAAAGCTCCAGGTTCCATCGACATCTTAATACATGTGTGCACAGAAAGGACTTCACACACACAAGCAAGTGCGCGAGCACACACACACACACACACACACACACATCCCTATGTGTATATTAAATACATAAACATGAAATGTATTATTTATGACTCTGAACACATCTCTTGTGTTGTTAGGGGGTCGGGTCAATAGCAGTAGCTATAATACTGATTGTTAATATAGTTTTGATGGTGGCTGTTAATATTAAGTATATTTATGTCTCCCACAAATCAAATGGTAGATTTGCAAGCATCAATATAAGATTGCACACCACCCTGGAGCAACGCCCAGCCTTGAGCGGTGGAGGATAATTTTCCTTGTGCACCCATATTCTGAGCACTTTTTGAGATATTTAAGTTCTACTGACTTCTCAGAGAGGCGGGTTTCTTTGAATTTCTGAAATGTAACCCTAGAACTCTAGAGTTAGGAAGGTATGTGGACTTTTTATTTGCCGTAAAGATTCCCAGATAGTTCTAATTAAGGTCACAGACCACCTTGGAGGGCGAGGGCCAGGAAAGCACGGTTATTTAAGAACACCTCTTGCACTGTAACAGACATGGACAGCTTTCAAACAGATCCGCAGAAATCTGAGGCAAAGCGAGCCGCTATGAGGACGAATTAAAGTTGACCATTAAAGAGAGGACGCAAACTCTCACCACATAAAGAGCATTTTGTACCTTAACTCTAGCATTCACCTTAAATTACAGTGTCTTCAGTCACTAGCAGTTAAAAATTCTCTATCTGTACAAATTCTACAATCATATACACAGGCACACAAACACTGATACTCAAATGTATACACGTATAAACATATATTATATATTGACATATGTACAAGCACATGTATCATTTACATATATTCAAATCTCCCTTTAGAGCAAAAAAAAAAAAAAAATTATGAGTATCCAAGCTCTAAAACAAGTCAGGGGGGTAAGAGAGCTTGATTCCCTTGAAGCAGAATTACAAGGAGGCTTGTCAACACTAGGTGGCGCCCTTGATCTACTGATCTGACTGAAGCCGACTCACGAGCTGTCAAAAGTCAAGGTCACAAATTGTCTTTTTTCCTCAAGGTCAAGGTTTAAGGCCTTTCCTACTCCTGTCATTTCAGCAAATACCCAAACCTGTCCTTTCAGTCACATGCAGACCCAAGACAGATTTTAAAATACGACAGTCTAGGCACTACTCAACAACTGATTTTACTTTTCCAGGGGAGCCTGGGAACCGACACTCTCTCCCTCCTCCTATCTTTCCTCTGCCTTTCAGAATACCTGACACTTGCATCTCCTCAGAACATTTTCATTGGTAGAATTCTAATTATGCGAGATCTTTCCCTTCTCATAAAAAAATTATAAAAAACTGACTAAGAATAGAAAAGAACGGTCTTTGGCTTGTATAAGACAAACCTGCTCCTTTTCTTCTTGTGCAGTGCAAGTTCAGCATAGAAAAGTAACTCAAGTGTTTCCTTCAGATTTTAATGGCAGCGATTATTTTATTAACAGAATTAATACCACCATCTACAGATCTAATTTTTCATTTTTAGTAGAAGTATTTAGAAAGCAGGTGCACAAATACATTTTCACAGTGTGCTGAACGTCTTTATTTACAAGATAGCATTTCTACTGAATATGGACAAAACGAATGTGTGAGCTGAAATTACTGCTTGATTAAAAATGTGCTGTGAAGACGAATCCCTAGACTTTCTACTGCGGTCTCATAACACAATAAACAAGGAAAAATACTAATCCTTTTGCAGATTAAAATACAGAATGTAGGCATTTAAATATTTTGAGAGAGCGGGTTTCCAATGTGAGCTTTCTTTTTTTCAAAGTTAAAAAAAGAAAAATGATGTCTCTAGCAAAATGTTTAACAAGTATTGAAAATTGCAAATTTAAATAAGTTAAAAAAAAAGAGAGTATATTTCAGGAGAAATCCATATTAGGATGGGACCTTCCGTGAGATGGGGCATAAAGTGAATCTTTCGAATCATCTGGTGGGTTCTAAACATTTTAAAAATTACAACAGATCCTATGGGAAGATCTCTGACACTGGGTTAGTCCAAATGCCACCAACATGCTTGCTGTAAGTAATTGAAAGGTATTTCCAGAAGTTCGTCACCCACCCAGAGTTCCCTTGCAGCCTCAAGGGTTTAGCTGGCCGCATTTACTACCAAGACAATCAATCCTTGGATGAGCATTCTCTCTCCTTTCTCCCTTTTAAGCAATAGTTCAAGATCAACATTTCAGTTCTTTCCCCTCTAAGCCTATCCATGAGACATTTCTTTTGGAACGTATTTGGGTAGGAATTTCAGTAAGGTTTTACCTGAGCAGGCACATAACACGCAAAGGGGATGTTGAAACAGACTTTTGTTTCCGTAACCAGTTTTCAGATTATTACCACCTAACACAGTATCCTAAAATATAATGGTCACATAAATACTTACAAGATTTGAGTAAATTCGTAATTTATCTGAAATTGTGTGTTTTAGGGGCTGAGGAGTTGACTCTAGAGCCTGCAGGGGTTGAACTGGCAGTCTCTACCATTTCTCAAGGTTTTTGTTTTTGTTTTTCAAACTGTAGATTCCATTGGCGAGAAAGAGATTCCCCTTAGGAGAGCAAAACATCAGTGTCTCTCTTTCCAATTCTTCTGTTATTATTAAGCCTTATTATTATCTGGGCAAAGAAGTGAGTAGTCCTTAGGCGTTTCTTCAAGCTACCCTCGGCTCCAGTTTTAATCCATTAACTAGTGGTCTTCAGCTTATTGATGACTTTTTTCTCTTTGACCCTCCTGTTCTGGAACCAGATTGTGACCTGCCTCTCAGAAAGGTTCGTCGTGGCTGATATCCTCCTCCGTTTGTCCTTGGTAATGAATTTGTTGGTAGCGTATTCCCGTTCGAGTTCTTTCAACTGCACCTTAGTGTAAGGCACCCGCTTCTTCCTCCCCCTCCTGTAGGAGCTGGCATCTGAAGGATGGGAGACGACGTCTGTAAGATAAGAGAGAAGGCACGTTACACTGGGAGCCCACCAGAGCCAGGACACAGGCGACAGCTCAGTCTGAGCTCCCGGCCCTACTTGCAAAGCCTGGTTGCTCTTTGCCACGCGCTCTGCACAATCCGGCCTTCTGCCAAAGCCTGGAGCCTTAGGAGGTGGCATGGTTAGTTGTGTATTGAAATGGAATTGCCCGGAGTTCCAATGACCACCCCAATCGGGTTACCCTTCATGTACTGCGCTCGGTCGCCTGACCCAGCGGTGCTCACCTTAGCCCTCAACAGGGCACAACACTTCTGTAGAGCCTGGCTCTCAACTTGCCCCAAATTTAAACATTCTAAGCTTCTCCAACGAAGCCATTTTTCGGAGAACCATCAGGGGCAATGTGGTGAGCTCGAGATCAAGTCAACTTCTCATCTTGGAGTCAGTGTCAAGGGCTTGGGAGGGTGGGGCACACAGGGAGAATGGGGCTGCCCAAGTTGGAACTCACAAGCTCCCTCCCAGTCACCCCTCACCGAAGGAGGGCCAGGGGCCAGCTCAACTTAGAATAGGGCGGACAGCGCCAGCCAGCCTGGCTCATACTCCCAGGGGTTCAAAAATTGCTAGGACAGGCCAGGGAGAGTGCAGGGGGGACACCCGAGTGACCCCGGGGCGCGAGCCCAGGAGAAGCAGCAGAAGAGCCAGAAGGCCGGGGCTGGAAAGGGGGCGCCATTTACCGGGTAGAGTGGACTTCCAGAGGTGGGGAGGCTGCGTCTGTTCTTTGGGGCAGTACATTTGGCCGTTCCAGCCGTTGGGCAGCGCCCAGGGCTGGTAGCTTTCCATTGGAAGCCCCAGGGGCTCGTGGCGCGACTCGCCAGGGCCCCCGAGCCCCGGGACCACCGGCATATCCAGGTAGCCGGGAACCGGCTGGTGGTGGTGATAAGGCCCGGCTGCGTAGCCCTGGTGGTAGAAGGCAAACTCCTTGGCGCGGGAGCTGAACTCCTCGGCCGCCGGGCCCGCGGTGTCCATGTACTTGTCGGCGAAGGCGGCGGCGGCCGAGGCGGGCTGCGCGCACGATTTGATGGCGTTGGGGTGCGGGCCCATGCGGGCGCACGGGTAGTAGCCGCTGCCGAAGTAGCCGTAGGGCAGAGCCGCGGGCCCCGACGAGCTTTGTGCCGCCGCCGAGCAGGGACTGCATTGCTTAGCGGCCTCGGCACCCGCTGGTCCCGCAGGCCCGGGCCCTCCCGACGACGACGCGGCGGCTGCAGCGGCGGCGGCGGCAGCGGCGGCAGCAGCGGCGGCGGCGGCGGACGGGGGCGCCTCCCCCGGCGCGCTGCTGTAGGCGGCCGCGGCGCCTGGCGCCAGGGGTGCGGGATGCGCCATCAGGTTGCGGCACTGGTTGGCCGCGGCGGCAGCGGCGGCGGCGGCTGCTGCAGCTACCGAGAAGTTGCCCCCCGCGGCCGCTGCAGCCGGGTGGGGGAAGCCCCCGCCCCCAGCTCCCGCCGCCGCCGCCGCTGCCGCCGCCGCTGCCGCCGCCGCCGCCCCTTCCATGTTCTTGTTGAGCTCGTCGGCCACCAGGCCGCCGCCGTTGTCGTAGAGGAACATGACGGTGGGCTCGATCCAGCGGGGGTGGAGGAGCACGGAGGCTGTCATAGCCCGAGCCGCATGGAGAAGACCCCAGTGGCGCTGTTTTAAAAAGCCCCCAAGAAGTGAAGAGCGCGCCGCGCGGGGCCGGGGCCCGAGCGAGGGGGGCGGGTCGCGCCCTGCGGGGTCGCGCCAGGCGGCCGCCCATTGGCCCGCCCCCGGCCCGCCCCCGGCGTATGCAAAGCGGGCGGCTCCAGCTCGGCTGGGCGCTGGGCCCGCCGTCCCCGCCGCCGCCCGCACGGTCCTCCGCGCCAGCGCCCGCCGCGCGGCCGCGCAGCAGTCACCCACGGAGGAGGCGGGGGACTCGGGAGGGTGGAGTGGGGAACACAGGGCGCGCGCCTTGCGGACTCCTATCTCTTCCCAGGTCTCGCTGGGGACCAGGGCGTCGCGCCCTGGGAGGCTGGGGTGGGGAGCTTGCGCGGACGTGGGCGCCCGCAGTTGGGATGCGACCTGAGGTCGTGGGGACAAGTCAGGTAAATTCTCCTGTAGCCAGGCAGGAGAGATTAGCTTGAACTGGCACAACATGACCCGGGGTGTCTGGGGGGCCTCTGGAGCTGTTTTCTTTCCAGGTATGGATATGTCTTTCTGCAGCTAGACCCTACCAGGGATGTTGGAGCTTTCGCCTAGGACACGTCGAGATTTGGCTCCCCCCCACCCCTAGGGAACTAGGGCAGGGCGTTTGTTTCCTGTCAGTTCCTAGGAGAAGTCTGGCGCAAGGGTCTCAGGACATTCCGCCGGGGAAACTTGGGCTTCATTTTAGGAGCTCTCTTCCTTTTTCTCAGGCCCTGAAGGACAATTTCAATTAGGCCACAGACTCAGAATATTGGAACAACCAATTGTATCTCCCTACTCCCCTCACACACATACAACAACAACACACACAGACACACCCAGATGCACACAGCCACAATCTCCCACTTGTATATACAATTTACTATTAGTTCCGACTCCGCAACTGCTCTCTCTGGTCTGCAGAGAATTTCAGATGAAGAAAGTACCCTTCATGCATGCTTCTGTCTCCTGCCTTTTCCTGAAGGGGTTTGAGAGGAACAGGCCCCAGTTGGACTGCTGGGTGGGACTCCAACCCCAGTTCTGGGCTTCCTACAAAGCCATTTCATAGATCCTGAGTTGGACACGATTCTCCGGACATCTGGGAACACACTGTTGCATTCCATTTTGGGAGAAGAGAAGGGGGATCTTCGGTGTCATTTCATGCCTTTCCTCCCAGTAAGCGCTCAGCCTGTGGAGGGTGCGTGGTTCTGAAGAACCAGAGTCTCCATGTCTCTGAGAGCCTGGTGGATGTTTGTACTGAAAGAGCCTCATGAGTCTCAATGTTATGGTGAGGGATTCTGGGGACCCTGCCTCCTTAGGACTTCTGATTGTGCAACCGTAAACTGGTCAGAAGTCCAGAGGGTAACAAACGATCAAAGTGAAAGTGGGTGCATTCTGGAATATACAAGCTGGGAACAGTTCTGAACTCTTTGGTCTCAGGCGCCCTGGTAGGCAGCCAGGCTTGGACCTGTCTTCTGGTCCCAGCTTGTAGACTTATCCCTAAGCTAGGGCACCACGCATATCACCCAATTCATCTGCTGTTCTCTAAGCCCCCTGGGCTTCTGGCAAGGTTGGGACCCATAAGGCTAGGCTCAGGCTTTTATCTGCCCAGATTCTGGGTTTGTTCTGACTAATGTTAAGTGTCGCCCAATAAAACCTTCCCTGATCCCCACACCCAATTCTCCTCCACACCCCATGCATCCGTCTTTTCCCTCCTGACATTTTAGCAGTCCTGGGTAAATATTGATTTGGCCCCAGCTTACCTTCTCTCTGACTGGCCATTTGCAGACTGAGAAACCGAGCTCTGGGATGACTTGATTTTTGTGTTCCTTTGGAGCCCTTTTCATCCATTCCCCCTGACTCCTTCCTCCCTCTAAGTGGCATTGTAAAACTCAGCAGTGACAAAGAGACAAAGTAGGGTTCCAGGCTCCAGTTCTTGGAGGGCTTGAGGGCAGTTTACACACAGGTCAGACACGGCTGGAGGCCAAGGTCAAGTTGAAAGTTGCTGTCTAGTCAGCGTGAGAAAGCGCAATGAAAGCCTGGAGACAGGCGGGCGGGTGCAGGCAGCGGAGGAGGCCGATTGCCCACCTCCCCTCACTTGCAATTCCCCAATTCTTTGCATTTCCAGTGTCGGGCTGTTTGGCTACTCCACATCATTTTTTTTTTTTACTCTTTGTAGAGTTTTGGGGGCGGTGTTTACGGACTGGACTGATTCTTCCTTGCTGCTGCCCTGCTTTAGCTGGGTTTTTTGAGCCTCCGAAGTTTTCCAACTAGATTCGGAAAAAACGAAAACACAGCTCGGGAAGCCTCCACCAGTCGATTCGTGTGCCAATTCGCCTCTGGCAAGGGCTGAACTCCTGGTACACAGAGCAGCCAAGACCAGCTCCACGTTATTCCCTTCCCCCCTCATTTCACTGGAGCCGGGAGCTCCGAGCTCAGGGGAAGGGCCTCAGTTCTACAAACTACCAAAGCCGGCTGGGTCGCTCCATTCCAAAAAAGGTGAGAAAGGATTTCATCTTTTTCTCAGAGGAGCCAGAAGCAGGTTTGTCTGGGAAGAATGGAGCAGCGGGGAAGGCTTTGGGCTGCATCTTGAATTCATTGAACTTTGCTTCCTACACGTGGCATCCCCACCGTGGAAGGGCTTTGGCTCTGATTTACTGAAGTTTATCTTTTCTAATCAATTAAAAAACCCGCAAGTCCTGATTATTTAGAGAAAAGCGGCCTCCTTATTTTCTTCCTGTCTCTACACTGATAGGATTTTCTAGTAGGAGGTGTGTGTCAATGGCATCTTGGTATATCTGACTTTTTCCCCTTCTGTGTTGTGTCTTCACTACTTTTAAATGACGGCATTTCCTGCTAGGTATTGAACTGTGGGCATCCCTGGAAATTGTTTCTTGAGTTAGAATGCACTTTGGGAATAATTTGGGGTAAGACTTCCTAGAATTTCTACTCACTTCAAAACAAGAATAATCCCTCAGTCTTTCAAAAGAGGCAGAGAAGAGATTTGATTCGTTAATGACTTCTAATATGATGCTCCAGGCAGTACCAGACCCGCTTGATATGGAGAAAGAAAGGGCAGAGGATAAAGATGGGCCTTGGAAAGTCAGTAGTCTCTTCCAATGTTCCTCCTCATTTCCCAAAGACACAGGCAAATTCTGCTGTCTTTCCAGCTAGCAGGGCCTGACTTCCTGAGCTCTTTTTGTCTCCCAGGTTTAGGATTCGTCTAAGATTTGATAGAAGCACCAACACCTTAACAATTTTATCTTCAGCTTCTCCATGGCTTAGAAAAGAGAAATCAGGGCACCCACAATGACCTTCAGACCACAGTGGTCCTTGGAGCCAAGCACCGGGCTGGGGTGGAAGTTGGAGAAGTCTCCTTACTGTCCGAGCTTTGTTTGATGTTCCCGGATTTCTCAGCAAAGCCCTTCAAGGGCAGCATGACTGCAGACAGGCCTTTGTTACAGGAGTTTCCATAGCCTTTCTTCTGCTCTTGGTTTTTTTACTAGGACAAGCCAGTATCCATGGGCTTTGACAGTCCTCTTGCATCTGACTTGAGACTTTGGCTCATTTTTTTTTTTCTTGATAGAGGACTCCTTACCAATCAGGACTGCATGATCCTGGGCTCCTAGGGTTGAAGAAAAAATGGACAAAGGGAAACCAAGGTCTAATCGAGTTTGATTTTCATTAGCAAATGAAATTTACCTGCTCTCACTTTACCGCGGCGGATGTCAGTATCAGCACTGCTCTCGGGAACTACTTCTTTGCATTGATCTGGTATTAGGGTAAACATTCCTTGTTTGGCTTTAAAGACACTTTGTATTTGGAGATATTCATGTGTTTCCAATGTATCCAAGCCACTTTATGAGCTGCCTTTGCAGGACATCTTAACCCTCTGGTTTCCACCCCAGGCAGGCTGAGGGCAAAGAGATAATGGCAAAGCAAGAAAGATCCAGAAGGGGAGGGAACTGAGGGGCCTAGGAGGAAGAATGGAGAAATGCTCAAAGAAGGCAGCATCGCAGAATCCTCACCAGGTCAGAGCAAGTGGGAAGCTGAGTTTTTTGAGGGTCCTCAAGCCTTTAAGCACCAGGGTGACAGTACTGCCTTGAGGTTGTGGGGGAGAAAGGGTTGTCCTGAATTCGGGGCTGGCTGGAGCACAGGGGAATGTCATAGCTTGAGACACTCATTTGAGGTTTTCTTCTAGAGCGAAGCAATAATGAAGTCAAAGAGAAAGATCTGGTGCTGTGGGGATAATTTTGGAGCACGGGAAATAACTCTGTACTATGGTGACCAGAGGCTTATAAAAGTGGAAGGGGAAGTCAAGGAAGAAAACCACAGACCATGCTCCTAAGATCACCTAAGATCACCTCGGAGATGGACTTGGAAGAAAGCAAAATGTTGGATAAGTGGTCCATCCACTGCCTGCCAGATCGAACCAGGTACAAAGGAACCAGCCCGGATCCGGAGCCAGCCGTAGGAAAGAGACTTACGGAAGGAGGAAGGATAGATAGCAGAAACTCAGAGAGAACCCCAGTTGTATCACTGTTCTCGGTTTCTTGCACTCTCAAAGAAGGGAGAGAGCAACCTTCCACTCCCGGTTTAGAAGAACCGACAGGAGAGCTCAGGCTCTGGGGAGGAGCAATCTCCTGCACCCGCCCGCCGAGGTTAGACGGTGGCAGGAGTTTTCCCTGTCCTCACTGCACTGCCCTTCACCAGATCTGGAAACTCAGTCTTCACCGAAGGACTCCAACGTTGGCAGCAGAGGGACCAAAGTTCCAGTAAATAGGCTCAACCTGAAGGAGGACGCTCCTTTCCACAGGGAGTGACAGGCAACCAGGCCAGGGACCAGCTTGTGGGTCTGCGGGGGCCCAAGCCACTCTGGGAGTGAGCTCACAGCCACTGGGACCCGGTACTGGTAGAATGCGGTACCTCCTGACAACCCAGCGCCTGCAGCTGCCATG